CTTTTGAAAAAGAGTTCCTTGCCTGCTACTGGGCCATAGCAGAGGCTGAAATCTAACTATGGACCACCGAGTTGCCATGTGACCTAAGCTGTCTCTAATGAACTGGGTGTAATCTGACCCATCAAGTCATAAAATTGGGTGTGCACAGCAGCAAGTGGCATATATGTGGTCAGGCTAAGCAGGTTCTAAAGGCACAAGTGAATTATATGAAGTGGCCCAAATGCCCACGGTGTCTGCTCGGCTATACTGCCTTCCTTCCCCTAGCCTGTACCTGTGACCTCAAGGGGAGCACCTTGTGATCCCTTGCCAGGAAGAGAAGACCAGTGCCTGGTTTACAGATGGTTCTGCACAATACGTAGGCACCAGCTGAACATGGACAAATGCACCTCTAAGTCCCTTCCCGGGACATCCCTGAAGGAGATCAGTGAAGGGAAATCTTCCCAGTGGGCAGAACTTAGGGCAGTGCCCCTGGTTGTATACTTTGGAAAGAGAAATGGCCAGATATGAGATTATATACCAATTCATGAGGTATGGTCAGTGGTTTGACTGTTTGGCCAAGGGCTTTGAAGGAACGTGATTAGAAAACTGGTGACAAAGAAATTTGAGGAAGAGGTATGTGGACAGACTTCTCTGAGTGGGCAGAAGATGTGAAGATATTTGTGTCCCATGTGAATGCTCACCAAAGGGTGACCTCAGCAGAGAAGGACTTTAATAATAAGTGGACAGGATAACCTGTTCTCTGGCCATCTGTCATCTTTTCCCTAGCCACCCCTGTCGTCATCTAATAGGCTCATGGACACATGGCCATGGTGGCAGGAATGGAGGTTATACCTGGGTTCAGTAACATGGGCTTCCATTCTCAAAGGCTGACTTGGTTACAGCCATCGTTCAGCGCCCCATGTGCCAGCAACAGAGACCAAAACTGAGTGTTTGAGGTGGTACCATTCCCAGATGATTAACCAGTTACCTGGTGGCAGGATGATAACATTGGAGCACTTCCATCTTGGAAGGGGCATCTTGTCCTTACTGGCATAGACAATCTGGGTACAAATGTGCCTCCCCAGCATACAACGCTTCTGCTGGAACTACCATTCAGGGACTCACAGAATGCCTCACCTACCGTCATGGTGTTCCACACAGCATTACTTCTGATCTAGAACTCACTCCACAGTCACAGAAGTGCAGCAGTGGACTCATGGTCATGGAATCTGCTGGTCTTACCATGTCCCTATCATCCTGAAGCAGCTGGCTTGATTGAACAGTAGAATGGTCTTTTGAAGATGCAGTTACAGTGCCAGCTATGTGGCAATACCTTGCAGGGCTGGGTTAGTTTTCTCCTGCAGCAGGGATTCGCTGGTCCAGAAGACAAGGAGTGGACATGGGAGTGGCACCACTCACAGATACGCCCAGTGGCCCACTAGCAACATGTTTGCCTTCTGTTCCTTTATGATCTGCTGGCCTAGAGGTCTTAGTCCCAGAGGGAGGAATGTTGCCACCAGAAGACACAACAGCGATTCCAGTAAACTAGAATTTATGACCACCACCTGGCCACTTTAGGATCCTCATGCCTCTTGATCAACAGTCAAAGATGAGAGTGACAGAGTTGGCTGGGGTGAATGATCCAGCCTACCGAGGAGAAACTAGACGACCACTCCACCATGGAAGTAAGGAAGGGTATGTCTGTAACATAGGGCATCTCTTAGTTTTACTATGCTCGTGATGAAAGCCATTGGAAAACTACAACCACACAATCTAGGCAGGTCTACTAATGGCCCAGACCCATCAGGAATGAAGGCTTGGGTCACCCCACCAGGTAAAGAACCACAACCAGCTGAGATGCTTGCTGAAAGCAAAGGGAAAACACAGTGGCTGGTAGAAGAAGGTAGTTGTAAATACCAGCCATGTCCATACAACCAATGACAGAAATAACATTTCTGAATACATTTGTGTCTGTGTATACAGTATATACCTTTGCTTTCTTTTCACTCTAATGCTTTATATTTAACATAAGATGTATTGACTTTGTATCATTGTACTCAGTATTGCCAATTTTACATCATAGTCTTCAAGTTATAAGATATCAAGGAGAACCATAAACATCACTCAATAATTTTATCCCCTCCCTGAGGAAGGGATTAGTGCATTTCTGGTTATATGCAGCCTAGTGGTATCACATTAGCTACTATCTTTACTTGGAGATTATAAGTATGGTTTAAGGAGACGCATGTGAGTGCCAAGTTGACAAACGTGGACCCGTGATGGTGTATTTTATGTGTCAAGTTGACTGGGCTATAGGACACCAAGACAGCTGGTTAAACATTATTTCTGGGTGTGTCTATAAGGGTGTTTCTGGAAAAGGTTACCATTTGAATAGATGGACTGAGCAAATCTGATGGTGGTCCTTCACTTGGACAATTTGTTGAGGGGCTGAATAGATTGAAGATGTGGAGGAAGGTTGAATCTGCTTCTTCCTGATGCTATGAGCTGGACTTCCAGCCTCTCCTGCTCTCAGTCCTCCTGGCTCTCCAGTCCTCCTGGCTCTCCTGAGAAGGCCTTCAGACCTGGACTGAAGTCTACACCATCAGTTCTCTGACTCTTGGAACTTTGAACTACATATACCACCATCTTTCCTGGGTCTCCAGCTTGTAGACAGCAAATTGTGGGGCTTCTCAGTCTCCATAATCATATGAACCAACACACACACACACACACACACACACACACACACACACACACACACATCACCTATTGGTTCTGTTTTTCTGGAGAACAGGCATAAAACACACTGTCAAAACAGAAATACGCGAGTTGCCACCAGAAGACAACTAGATCTGACCTGTATGCTGGAGACTGTTTTGGGGATCTCCCACTGGGGACAGCCAGGAACACAGTGCAGTATTGGAGAACATACTTGGGACAATCTATGTTCTGGATGCTAAGAGAAGATCAGAAAAGGAGCCCATTAAGGGTGAGAGGAAAGTACTTACGAGGAAGTTTAGCCATACAGGAGGGCTCCCTAGGGAAATTTTCCCAGGAAGGATTTGTAGAGCCAAAGCAGCCATGACATAGAGTGAACTAGGCTTTCTTCTGCTTCCTTGTTTTATGTACTATTTTTTTTCCACTTTATTTTTTGAGACAGGGTCTCACTCTGTTGCCCAGGTTGGAATGAAGTGGCACCATCACAGCTCACTATAGTCATGACCTCTTGAACTTGAGTGGTCTTCTGCCTCAGCCTCCCGAGTAGCTGGGACTACAGGCGCACACTACCACGTGTGGCTATTTTTTTTTTCTTTATTGGGATGAGGTCACATTATATTGCCCAGGCTGGTCTCAAAACCCCTGGGTTCAGGTGGTTCTCCTACCTTGGCCTCCCAAAGTGCTGGGATTACAGGCGTGAACCACCACACTCAGCCTAACTGTAAAACAAATCATTGTGTATATGTGTACATATATGTTGTGTGGAAGAGGAACACATACCTGTCTCCTCTGCTTTTCTAAATTCTTTAGCGGGTCTACAAATTAAATTGACATGAGACAGATTAGCAGTAGAAAAGCCATTTTAATTTATGTAATCACGAATAAGAACCCCTCAAAAATATAAGACTTAAAGAAGCAGACAAATGACTAAGGTTTATGTATCATCCTGAAAGTAATAGGGGTTTGGAGGTTCTGGATGGTGGTGGAGGCAGATTATGGGAGGGTGAGGGAGAAACTGTCTGGTGAATAAAGGTTGCCTTGCTAGGCAGACAATAGTTTCTCAAGTGACAAACATCTGGGAACAGTGTTCTTCCTGGTACAGACGCATTTAGGAATGAACATTTCTTTTGTCAATGTAAATTTCCTCTACAAAAGGGCAGCATTTCAGAGTTTCTTCTGTGTCTGCCTTTCTCAACATAACCAGTTCCAAATAATCAACAGTGTCTCATGCCTGTAATCCCAGCACTTTGGGAGGCTGAGACTGAAGGATTACTTGAGTTCATGATTTCAAGACCAGCCTAGGCAACATAGTGAGACATCATCTCAAAGAAAGAAAAAAAAAAAAAAAAGAAAAAAGAAAAAAAGGCCGGGTGTGGTGGAACACCCCTGTAGTCCCAGCTACTGGGGAGGCTGAGGGGGAAGGATCTCCTGAGTCCAGGAGGTGGCGGATGCAGTAAGCGGTGATTATGCCACCGCACTCCCGCCTTCGCGACAGAGTGAGACCCTGACTCAAAAATAAACACAAACAAACAATCCATCAATATACCAAATAAGACTATGTTGGGGTGGCATACTCCGGTCTCCTATGGTCATGTTTTGGGCAGCTGCATCCCGAACCGCCACAATTGCAAGCAGTGGAACGAGCTTCTTAAGTACCAAGGAAAGCCACGGCATCCTGACTCCCGCCCTAGCCTGTGGGGCAGGGAGACCTCCGACCCTCCGGGGGAACCCTTTCCACCCGGACGCGTGAGGGCAAAGAAGAGCCGGCCCAGGGGACTGGGGAGGACTCTTGGTTCCCAGCGCTGTGATTCCAACATTTGTGATAGGGTCAGCGGTCCTCAGAGGCCAACTCCTGGGTCCTATCACAGGTCTCACTGGTCCCCCGGAGACCAGGATGGGGCCAACCCCAACAGGAGCTCAGGAAGTAGTCGCCCAGTCCCAGTCCGTCTCCCTAGTGCCAACTCCAGTCCTTGGGGAGAGCTGCGCCTGCGACCTGAGAGGTTCAAGTTGCCTGTCGGGCCTGGTCCGGGAAGCGTCCCCGGAGTCCCCTCTGGGTCCCGCCGCGGGCAGAGACCGGGAGCGCGTCCCGGGCTTCCCCTCAGGGAAACTCCTCCCGGGCCGCCCCCGCCTCCGCCCTCGCGGACCCGCCCGCCGGGGCCGCCGCTCCCGCCCGTCCCTCCCCCTGCCGGAGGTGATCCGGGACCCGCTCTAGGGGGTGTCACCCTCGGTACTTGGACGCCGCCTCCCAAGATTAAAGCGAGAGCCGGGGCAGGTCGGGGACTCGGGCGCAGCGCCGAGAGGACGCGAGCTCTGCAGGAGGCAGAGGAGGCGGAGGAGGAAGGCGAGGGGCGGGGAGCGCGCCGGGAGTGCCGCAGGTAAACGGCGCTCGCCAACCTCTCGTTGAGCCCGGGTCCCGGGCGCGGGTTCCGGGCTTGAGAGGGGGACCTGGGCTCCTGGGAACTACGGAAGGCTCCCGCGCTGGCGGTGAAGCCAGGTGTGAGGCAGGTGTGTGGCCTGCGGGTCGAGCGCTCTGGGCTGAACCGGGCAGAGCGCCCTCCGTGGGCTGGGAAGGCCGGATCCTCGGGACCCCTTGGACCCCCCCGGCTCTCCCTGTCGGCGTCGCGAGTCTGGAGCAGGTGGCCCTGCAAGTACCCTGGTCAATTGGTCGAAGTGGGTGCCTCGGGGTCCCTCTCGGTGGGGTACCTCGGCGTAGCGGGCACCCGGTCCACCTGCCCTCTATGGCCCCCACCTGGGAGACCGGGGTGCGCCTTTTCTGTTTGGGGACGAGGAAGGAAAGAACTGTCGGTCTGTTTCTTTGTTTCGGAGAAATCTGTGCAGTCTAGGAATGTTACCTGAACTCCTCCTGCTCCTTGGTTCCCCACCGAAGTGGGAGAAACTAGAAACTTGCTGAGATGCCGGGATCGATAGGGCCGGCGGGGCGGAGACCGTTGGGCCAGGCTCCCGGAGGGCTCCGGGTTGGGCGCGAACGGCCCGACAGCTCCGGGGAGGTACTGCTCGCGACCTGGGCCTCGTTGCGGCACCCGCTGTTGGCGATCAGGGCCTGGGCGTCGGGCACTCGTGGGACCCCGCTGGGGAGGAACCGGCCCACCCCCTCGGCGCGTGCTCCCTGCTGAGGGAAGGCCGGTCACCTGGGCGTTTCGGTCCGCTGCACTCGGGACGGTGGCGCCGAGGAGGCAGAGCCGCATTCGGTAGAGTGGCGCCTGCGGAGGCCGAGCGCTCCAGGCTGGCAGTGGGTGCCCTACTCGAGCACGGGCCCAGCTGAAGAATTGCCCAAGGGCCCGAAAGTTTGTATGTCCACGCTCTGGAGGCCCCAGGGTACAGGTGGCCCCCGGCACTGGTTAGTGCCCGGGCCTATGTGTGGTGGGAGCTGGGAGCGTGTGTGACAGTTCCCCGCCCTCCCGGCCCCAGGGCACGGCGCAAGGGCTCCGAGTGAGGGATCCTGTTGGTTTGTTTGGGAAGGACAGGATAGCATGGTGGCCTGAGGTGGGTCTGGTGGCAGGGGTCTCTCAGGGCTTGGCTTCGAGGAAGCCCTCCTGGTGCACCTGTGCGGTGGTCCTGCGGCAAAGACCCAGGAGCGCACGTGCTCACCGTGATGCCCACACTCATTGGCTCCCAGCCACGAGAACCTCCAGAATAATGGAAAATTGCAAAGTCTACGAAGCCGACTTGCAAGGTGTTTGGAAAGTCAAGTGAGGATTGTTGACCCAGCCTGAGAGGTCTGGAAAAGTTCTCCAGGAAGTGAGGATGGAGCCAATCTCCCCTGCAGGAAGGGTGGGGGCTGGGAGTGTGGCCTGTAGAGTTTGCCAGGGAGAAGGGACCTGGGGACACGGGGAGCTGAGCAACCCTGGCTCCTTAGCTGCTGCTGGGCTGGGGAGGCCTCGTGGATCAGGTGACAGGGAGTTGCCCCAGGAAGTCACTGGATGTTGCTCAGAATGTCCCTACCTTTGCTGTGTTGCTTCTGAAGAGGGTGGACCTGCCTCCTTTCACCCAGCAGACTTTGCACAGAGGAGGGCAGAATGAAACCTAGTAACACCACTGAGTGAGTAAACACGCGTGCAAGAGTTTGGGGGATATCCTTATGGCCTGGAGACAGGTGGTTCAACATCTTAGCCTCTGGTTATTTATTTATTTATTTGAGTTGGGGTCTTTTTCTGTTGCCCAGTGGCATGATCACTGTGATCACAGCTCCCAGCAGCCTCGACCTCCTGGGCTCAAGCGATCCTTCTGTCTCAGTCTCTGAGTAGCTGAGATTATAAGCCTACACCACCACTCCCGGCTAATTAAAAAAATTTTTTAGTAGAGATGAGGTCTCGCTATGCTGCCCAAGCTGGTTTTGAACTTCTGGACTCAAGCAATCCTCCCACCTCAGTTTTCCAAAAATGTTGGGATTACAGATGTGAGTCACCAGGCCAGGCTGTTACCAACTGGTGAGTAGGTGGGGCCTTTGCTCTCAGCTTGAGCATCTGTTTGGTCCCCTGCAATGTCCTTCTTATTCCCAACCACAAGGTCAACCTTCTGCCTGCAAGGCTGTGCAGTTGCTAGAGCCACAGACAGAGTCCTCCAGATTGGTGCTTGGAGCCTGGTCACCTGGCACCACTGGCTACTCCACCCTGAGCTCAAGTCACCTTATTTGAAGGAGTAAATTTGACTGCACTGGTATTATAATAAAAAATCACTGATGTTGATGTGACACTTTCTTCCAGCCAGACATCATTGCAAGCACTTTATAACATATTTAACTCAACTATAAGGAAACTGAGGCAGGGATGTTGAGTAACTTGCTTGAGGTCCCGTAACTCCTAAGGAGCAGAACCAGGGCTGAACATAGATTGTCTGGCTCCAAAGGTTAATGCTCCTAGTGTTAGGTTCTGAGATGGAGAAACAGTGTGCTTAGAAGAGGCTTTGGTGACCATTGGCACCACGTGGCAACTCCCTTCTCCTCCTTCTCTCCATCTCCCAGAGGTTAGAATGTCATGGGGTAAGTGGAGAAAAGGAGAAGAGAAGGAATCTGGGAATGAGGGCCAGGGAATCCTGATTGGAAATGGCTTGCCCTGGGCCAGGCTCTGGGTCTCCTTGACCTGACAGAGCCCAGCCCCTGCCAACCCCTGCTTGCAGCCCACCTGCACTGGGTACTGCCCCCTTCAGCAGTACTGTGGGCAAGAGTGCCTGGGACTCCATGGTGGGCGCTGAGGAGGGTTGACCTCTTTGGGCGATAAGGGCATTGAGTGACAAGACACTGGTACAAATGTCTTGTAGATGGTGAGGCCAGACACCAGCAGTACATGATGCCAGTAATCATCATCATAATCATCATCATCTGAGGGTGCTGCCCCCTACTCTGGACCTGTCCCAGGTGCACAGCAAGAGAACAGGCTGATACCTGTTACTCTGTTCCACCTAAATCTGTGGCAGGATTCCTGGGGGGGCTTGGTAGCAATACGGGATCATTGCCTGGGTCCCAATTGCTGCATCAGACCCTGGGGGAAGAGCCCAGTAATCTCTATTTTTTTTCTAAGACCTCTTGAAACTTCTGGGATTGGGAACCACTGGTCAGGTCTAAGCCCTGGGCATTGAGGGCAGAAAGAAAAGCCGACTGGTTAATGGAGTGGCTGGTCAGTTAGGGTTACTGAAGTACCAGAAACTGATCCTGCTGTTGGGAAGGTGGAGGGGAGGGTCCTGGAAGCCCAGGAGAGCTCCCTGCAGGGAACCAGAGAACCAAGGGGTATTGGAGGACCCAGTGCCTTGCCACACTCTGGTCTCTCCTGCTCTGCACTTCCTGGGTGTTCCCTCCTCCCACAGTTACTGAGACCTTGCCTGCTCTTCCTGGACTCTCCTTCCTCCTTTCTTTCCAGGGCACCTGGAAGGTACCCCCCAACCCTGGGCCTGCCCCAGACTGCATTGAGTGGCTTAAGGATCAGGTTACGGGGGCGTCACACATCTGAGAACTGAGGTCTGCATTGGGCTAGCCTTTGTGGGTCCCTTCCAGGATCTAAAGGTTGACTTAGGGAACCCTGGCATGCAAGCCCCAGCAGTATGGGCCTGGGAATGGGGGGAGCTGGCGATGCCCCCTGTGCCATTGACTGTCCTGAGCCTGAGCATGGACACCCATGAAGGAGCAAAGGGGGATTTATATGGGAGTAGCAGTTTGGCTGAGTACATAGGCAGTTCTGCAGAGTGACCCAGAGCAGGGTCTGGGCTCCAGGAGGTTTTTCCCAGTCACTGGGCAGTGGTCAGGAGAGAGGAACTGAATGTGTGGAAGATGCCCTGGTGGATAGCAGAGACTGATTATCTGGCAGGGGTATGGGCAGTTGCTTGTGTTGTAAACAGAGTGGCATTTGGGAGGGCAGGTGACTCAAAGACCAATGTTCACTCTTCCTGGAGGTGAGTCAGAGAGAAGAAGGTGAGGGCTTGGGCACATAGGGGGCAGACAGGAGGGGTTAAGGGTGCACAGGTGTGATAAGAAAACAAAATGTTTGAAGGGCACCATGGTGTCTGGTTGTGGTGGCTGAGGTCTGGAAGTTCACATAAGGGCAAACCAGATGGAAGACTTGGTTGCTTAGGGAGGACTGAGAAGAGAGTACGTGATAATCAAGTGGACATTCACAAGAATGATATTTTCAAGTGAGAGTTGAATTGGCAGATGAAACCAGGTCCAGGCTCTATCATTGCTTGTTTGTATGTGGTGTAAGATCCAGTGTCAAATTGCCTTCCAAGGGTCTGCCCTGGCCAGCTGCTGAGACAGACCCACTGCAGAACAACCTTGGGGTCATGCATTATCTAGGGTTTGGAATTCATTCATTGGAATTTGGTGACATTTTTAAGTTCACTGGAGATGATATATTTGTAAGGAGTTGGGAGCAACTTTAAAAGATCATCACATCTGGTTTCAGAATTAAAGCCCAATTCTGTTCTAGAATATTCTGCAGAAATGATTTTCTAGTCTTGAAATACACATTTCTAGGTCTGAGGAATTTAGTACTTTTCAAGGTAGCCTCAATTTATATTTGAACTTTCTTTTTTTTTTTTTTTTTTTTGAGTTGGGGGTCTCACTCTGTTGCCCAGACTGGAGTGCAGTGGCCGCTCCCGGCCACCGCAGCCTCGACCTGCTGGGCTCCGGCGATCCTTTCGCCTCAGCCTTCCGAGTAGCCGGAATTACAGATGCGTGCTACCACGCCCGGCTAATTTTTTGATTTATTGTAGAGATGAGGTCTCACTGCCCAGGTGGGTCTCGAACCCGCGGGCTCAGGCAATTCACTCACCTCAGCCTCCCAAAAGCGCGGGATTACAGGCTGAGCCACCGAGCCCGGCTTATATTTGAACTTTCTAATTGTTGAAAACAATTTTCTGGAATGAA